TAATACGTATCTAAAATGAGAAAAAGAAAATGAGAAACAAAAATTGGCTCTATATATAATTTTATATCTAGTACTATTAACTTTCATTGACTTTTTTTGGTAAATTATTTTTTTTCAAGTTGACGATTGGACCTATAAAAAATAATTTATTTTCGTGGTTATTAACTGAACCAAACCGTACCGAACCGAACCGACTTTCGTGGTTATGGTATGTCCAAAAAATTGATGGTGCGGTTATGGTTTTAGCCGAACCGACCCCGAACCAAACCGTTGCCATCCCTATCCATTAATCTTTGATGTTCACTTGTGCTGTATGGAATAGAAGCACACAATTATTAGATACAAAGCATCATACATGAATATTATTAATACTAGATATTGAGGAATTTAGAAAGAATTGAAGATCAGAAAAATATCTATTATTCTTCCTGAAAATGAAATGAAACAACAATATAAATACAAAAGGAATGAAGCAAACTAGGCGGGAACCACAGTTAATGACAGCTCACTATTCTAACTAATTTTGGCGCCTAATATTTAGCCTTCCAGTAGCTTCTATAAACTCTGAAACTCCCCCTCAAGATGGAGGGTGTAAATCTACAACGGCCATCTTAGAAAGTAAAGAAAACAGAGTGGATGCTGGTAAAGACTTGGTAAAGATATTAGCAAGTGGGTGATTTGTTCTAACCGGTAACAACTTGATGAAATCGTCATTGATTTTATCCCTTACAAAGTGACAATCTATTTCTATGTGCTTAGTCCTCTCATGGAAAATATGATTAGTTGCAATGTGAACGGCAGCCTGGTTGTCACAAAATATTAATGCTGGAATCTTGGAGCTTATGTGTAGATCAAGGAGTAATTGGTGAATCCACATCAGTTCACTAGCAGTAGAAGCCAGTGCACCATACTCAGCTTCTGCAGACGATCTAGACACAGTGTTCTGTTTCTTGGCTTTCCACGACACCATAGAATCCCCAAGAATGACACAAAAACCTGTAATGGATTTTCTGGAATCTAAGCAGGACCCCCAATCCGCATCAGCAAATGTACGCAACTGCAATGAAGAACCAGCTGAAAACGGAAGACCTTGGCCTGGAATACCCTTAATATATTGCAGCAGGTGATGAATTGCCGTTAAGTGCGGTTTTCTAGGCTAAGACACATATTGACTGAGTTTATGTACATCAAATGTAATATCTGGCCTGGATATTGTGAGATATAGCAACCTACCAACCAATCTCCTATACATAGAACTATCCTTCAAAAGCTTCACAGTCACTAACTTTGCTAGTGGAGAGTAGGTTTCTAGAAAATCAAGTCCTTCTTGTTGAGTATATCCTTTCGCGACCAGTCGTGCTTTGAAACGATCAACAGCCCCATCTGATTTATACTTAATCTTTTAAACCCACTTACAACCTATAGAATGCTTTCCTGGAGGTAACTTGGTGATGGACCAAGTTTTATTCTGTTCCATGGCAGATAACTCAGCAGCCATGACATCCTTCCAATAAGTATGTTGCACTGCTTGGTGATAATGTTGAGGCTCAGTGACGGATGAAATATTGAGGAGTAGATGAGTATGAGCAGAAGAGAATTTTTCATAAGTGATGCAATCACTTAAGGGATAAGGATAAGGCTTATGATCAGTGGAAGAAGTGCTGTAAGATAGAAGATTGCAGTGAAAATCCTTTAAGTATGATGGAGGTTTGTTATGTCGAAGGGATCTCTTGATAGGAACATCAGTTGGAGTGCTAATGATAGGCTGACCTGCAGATGGTGAAAAAGAATCAAGAGATGGAGATGGAATATTAATAGTATGATCTGAAGGGTGATTGGGATTGAAATTATTAACAAGAGATTCTGATGAAGTAGGATTATCTGGAAGAGAGACAGGTAGAACAAGATGAGGAAAATCATCAGTAAAATCAGCACATTTGGCAATAGAATGAAAAGGAAAAATATTCTCATGAAATATTACATCTCTGGAAATAAAGAAGTTTTTGGATTCAATATCATACAAGCGATAGCCTTTAATACCAGGATGATAGCCAACAAAGACACATATTTTTGCACGAGCTTGAAACTTTAGGCAATGAGAAGGAAGAGTGGAAGCAAAACACAAACTCCCAAAGACTCTGAGAAAGCTGTAATCAACAGGAGATTGATAAAGTAAGGTATATGGTGTTTTGTTTTGCAAAATAGGGGAAGGAGTCCGATTAATCAAATAAGTTGCTGTAAGAACACAGTCCCCCCAGAAGGATATAGGAACTTGAGCCTGAAAAAATAGTGCCCTGGCAACATTAAGCAAATGTTGATGTTTCCGCTCAACGACTGAATTCTGCTCAGGTCTTTCAACGAAAGAGA